GTGTAAAAATTGAGTGACCCCGGGGCCAGGGGAAGGAAGATCTTGAGGAGAGCCTGGCTGGAGACACTTTACAGAGAGGGAGTTTGCCCACTAGGGATGGGTTGGATGTAGAAGAAGAGCAGGGAGGACAGCCTTTGAAGCACAAAGAAGCCACCTGGGTTTACAACAGAATGGTGGGTGTAATGGTACAGAAGCACACAATGCAGGACTGAAGCGTGGCTGGAAAACTCGGGGTGTCGTGTAAGGGATATAAGGGAGCTTGGGCTCCATCCTGTAATTCAGTGGGAAGATAACACCTGCTTCAGATCCATAGGGTGAATTGCTAAATAAGAATCTACATTTTTAACAGGTTCCCCAGGTGATTCATAAATAAGTATTGATAACAATGTGTAGACTAAGGAAATCTTTTTTTTTTTAAGATTTTATTTATTTGTCAGAGAGAGAGACAGGCAGAGGGAGAAGCAGGCTCCCCTCTGAGCAAGGAGCCCGATGTGGGACTCGACCCCAGGACCCTGGGATCACGACCTGAGCCAAAGGCAAACGCTTAACTGACTGAGCCACCCAGGTGCTCATTATATCACAAACTCTAATTAAATGTTTTTGACAATTCAGAGTAATTTAGGAAGTGCCGAGACCATAATCTAAGTGTCGTTCTTATAGATGACAATGAGATGACATAGCAAGAAAACTGGAAAATCTATAATTCATTCATATTTGCCTTGGATGTTAACATAAACTCTTGACATAAGGAAACTACTCAGAGAGCAGTTGATACCATAGGTGTCTCTAAAAATCTTTGATTGCAACCAGCAAGTCTCCTCACCTGATAGATTAGGTTGTCCTCTTTGGTGAATTTGAACAGTGTAACAGTTGCCAATCTGGCTTTCCTAGAATTAAAATGAGATTTACCCTGTTGTAATTACCAAAGCAGAAAGCAACAACAACAAAAACATTACTACTCTTAGCATTATTTTTATTTCTAAATAAAATTACATGAAAGCACACATATTGAAAAGTGCACTATTTAATAACTTACATTTAATAACTTTTTTCAGTTTAAATTGAGGTTTCTCAACTTGGCACTATTGACAGTTGGGGCTAGATAATTCTTTGTCATAGGAAGGAGCTCCTGTGATTATAGGATCTGGCCTCCACCAGTGAGATGCCAGTAGCACTTCCCAAGTTGTGACAACCAAAAATGGTGCCAGACATTGACAAATGTTCCTTTAGGACAAAATTGTCCGTGATTGAGAACCATTCATTTTAACGGAAAGCCCCATATTTTAAAAACTGAGAAGTAACCATTTCTATGTTGATTTATGTAGAAGGAAAAGTGATTCTGATAGTTGTGATATTACAAATTTACAGAAACCTAGAAGAGTTTTGTGAGGAGCTAAAATAGAAACCAAGCATGTGTTTCAAACTTGTGATTTATTCTTTCTGAATGTATTGCCCCATAATAAGAAATGGAAATGATAATACCTCTTAGAACTATGGTGAGAGCAAATAAAACTGAAAAATATAATACAGATCAGAATGCTAGGCACATAGCAGGTGCACAAAAGTCTGACTTTCTTTCCTTTTTTTTTTAAGATTTATTTATTTATTTGGGTGGGGGAGGGCCAGAGGGAAAGAATCTCAAGCAGACTCCCTGCTCCATGTGGAGCCCAATGCAAGACTCCATCTCAAGACCCTGAGATCATGACCTGAACCAAAACTAAGAGTCAGACACTCAACCAACTGAGCCACCCAAGTGCCCCCTTTTTCTTTCCTAAGAGACTTATGGCAGCTTTTACTGTTTTGGTTATGTTTTGCTGTGTTATGTTTTGTTTTTCTGCATTTCGGCATAACTTTGGTTTTGTAGGATTACATTAAGACTAGGTAAGTGATAGGGGCGCCTGGGTGGCTCAGATGGTTTAGGTGTCTGCCTTCGGCTCAGGTCATGATCCCAGGGTCCTGGGATCGAGTCCCGCATCGGGCTCCCTGCTCCTTGGGAGCCTGCTTCTCCCTCTGCCTCTCTCTCTCTCTCTCTCTCTCTCTCTCTCATGAATAAATAAATAAAATCTTAAAGAAAAAGAACTGAAGTTTAAAAAAAAAAAAGACTAGGTAAGTGATAGTCTTGTCTAAGCCAAACTGGAATTCAGATTTGGCTATTTGTCCAACTCTTGCTTTCAATTTTAAGGGATACCTGAAAAGATTGGAAAAAGGGGGAGGGGCAAAAAGGAGAGAGTATCTATTTCCTGCTGCCACCCAGACACCATCTTTTAGAGGAGTTAGAGAAGAAGCTAGGGAGATCATGTTCAGAAAAGGTTGTGAAAGATTCAGAACATAAGTAATGCTAAACTGACTCCATAGATTCCATTTTTCAGAAAGATCTTAAAATCTACTTCATTAGTGGAGGGCTTTCTCCCATGCGACATTACTAAAAATGTCTAGCTTTCCATGGTCACCCATCCCGGGGTGCAGTAAGCTTTCATCTCTTTCACCCAAAACATCAATAACTAAAACACGAATCACAATAGTGTGTGAGGAAGAGGGACCCATTTGAGTTCAGTAATGAGGTCAGACTATAAGGGAACTTTTATATCTTTAGACCAAATCAGTCTTCAAACCTCACATTTACATGTCTTAACTATCCAGTGGACTTTCTACAAGGGCCTCAAACCAAGTAAGTTCAAAATTGGGCTCATCTTGTCTCCCCAAAACCTGTTCGCCTCCTGGACCATCTATCTCAGTGAATATTACTGATCTCTAGTACTCTACTGCTCATCTTTACTCCGACCCTAAACCTGTCAAGGTTACCTTGTCTCCTTCTCTTTCCTTACCCCATGGATCTAAAAAACTAAATCCTGTTGATTCCATTTCTTTTTTTTAAAAATATTTTATTTATTAATTTGAGAGAGAATGAGATAGAGAGAGCATGAGAGGGAAGAGGGTCAGAGAGAGAAGCAGACTCCCTGCTGAGCAGGGAGCCCGATGTGGAACTCGATCCCGGGACTCCAGGATCATGACCAGAGCTGAAGGCAGTCGCTTAACCAACTGAGCCACCCAGGCGCCCCTGTTGATTCCATTTCTTAAGTAGTTTTTAAATCCAAGTCTTCTTCCCATTCCCAGTGGAACGCCATCCTGTTTTACAGGCATTTAACTAGTGTAGCCTTCAATCTTGCCCCTCTGATTTAGTGAACATAGTACAGAGGGAGTGATGTTTTTTCTTTCTTTCTTTTTAAGACTTTAGTTATTTATTTGAGAAAGAGAATGAGTGAGAGAGAGAAAACAGAAGTAGGGAGGGGCAGAGGGAGAGGGAGAAGCAAACTCTCCACAGAGCAGGGAGCCCGACATGGGGCTCAATCCCAGGACCCTGGGATCCTGACCTGAGCAGAAGGCAGAGACTTAACTGACTGAGCCACCCAGGCACCCCTGATTTTTTTTTCTAAAGAGCAAATTTTTTTGCCTCTTCATCCCACTTAAAACCTTTCATGGGCTCCCCCACTGCCTTCTGGATAAAGTCCACACTTTTAATACAAAGCCCATGGTTACTTCCCCAAGTTCATTTCTCAGCACTAACTCTCTCCAACCCCGGAGCACCATGATCACTGCATTTCCCCCAGTAAACACACTGCTTCCAGTTCTCCAAACACCAAGCTCCCTGCTTCTGTTCATGCCCATTCCCAACCTTTGGTCCCCTTATGGGAACCACTCTATTGGTTTCAGTTCAGATGTTATTCCTCCAGGGAAGATTTCCTTGGCCTGCCAAGAGAGGGTCACAAGTCCTCCCAAAGGGTTTCAATTTCCTATTTATTTACAGGTCTCATGACACTGAGCTTCTTATTTCACAATTTCATTCCTAGCTCCTGGTCCACAGCATGCTGTTAATAATATTTCTTGAATAACTGAAATACCTGGCAAATGAAAATAAAATTCCAGTTGAACTCACTGCAATCCTTATATTTATCTCACTGTCTCTCATATGACATAGTTATTTATTTGTTGAATAAATCGGCATACTTTTTCCATCACACACAGATCATGCAGTCTATACCCAAGCCAGTTGCCTTTATTGTCTCTGTTCAAAACAGAAAACTTTCTCTTCACTCCAAGCCCAAGTTGGTTTTTTTTCCTATTAAGTTATTTTAAAGAATCACAGAAAAAATGTAGCTTGTGCTTGAAATGTCCTTTTAAAATATTTTAACAATATTTTTAAGATATCACTGGTGTAATCTGATTTTTTTCACATATTTCCTTTTCGAAAAAATCGTGCTTAGAAAAAAGGACATAACATTAGCTTTACTATCTTAACCATTTTTTTTTTTACAAGGAATGTTTAATAAGGTAGGTAACATATGCTTAACTAACATGCATTTCTGGATCACTGCAGCTAAAACAAAACACCTTATTCATTGAGTAAAAATGGTTTGTTTTATGTGTTGTACACTTCAGGGCAATTAGTAAAAAAAAAAAACAAACCCAGGATACACTTGTTTCGTATTCTAATGACACGTAGCACGTGAGGATGTATCTTCTACTCCTTTCTTCGTATCAGGATGCAGTGGCCCATCATGCATAACGAGACCTCTGATTAAGCTTATATCAGTCTTATATTTCTGTTTAATTTCCATGATCTTGACCATGAAGAGATCAATAGGTTAATTTTGGGTTTTACTGGCCAAAGTGGAGTCCAGTATAGCCTCTGTTAAGACATCGGCAAGTTCAGTGTGAACCCACGTAGAGGTGCTCCCGCCACACCTATAAGTGTTTTTCTGTTCTTCTTTCTGCTTACATGACTCACTCCAAAAACTAATGTGCCTTTTCCTTTGAAGCTTCAGATCCCTCTCTTATTATTCTGGGATAAAGACCCTAATAATAAACACACAATTACAAACCACCCCCACACTAGAGTTCTTCAATTAGGTGCAGCTATAGTTTGAGTGAAAGATAGTTTTTGAAGGGATATTCCGGATCATTCATACTTGTATTGTTTCATTGATACAATTAAGTTAATATAATGTGCTGACTTTCTGAATGCATTTAAAAAGATAAACAGTCCTTTCAATGCAGAGGGAAAGAACACACATCACTCTAGCACAGTGTCAAAGCCAAGGGACCTATTAAACCATCCGTTTTAAGTGCACAGTTCAGTAGTGGTAAGTATATTCACACTGTGGTGTTACGGATCTCTAGAACTTTTCCATCCTGCAACACTGAAATTGTATACCCATTAAACATTTATGTCCCTCCTCCCCCAGCCCTTGCCAGCCACCTTTCTATTTTCTGTTTCTATGCTTTGGACTGCTTTAGATGCTTCATATGAGTGAAATCATTACAGCATTTGTCCTTTCGTCACTTGCTTATTTCAGTTAGTTAGCATAATATCCTCAAGGTTCATCCATGTTTAGTCTGTGGAAGGATTCCCTTCCTTTTTTAAGGCTGAAGAATATCCCACTGAATGGATATACCATCTTTTCTTTATCCATTCATTTGTCAAAGAACATTTGGGTTGCTTCTACTTCTTGGCTTTGTGAATAATGCTGAAATGAACATGGTGTACAAATATCTCTTTGAGATCCGATTTTGAATTCTTTTGGATATTGGAAAGTTCAGGAGATGCTGTTTTTCAACTTCATTATGTATTTTTTGAGCTTATTCCTTTCACTTAGCATTCTGTGTGTGAAATACAACCAAATTGTTTCCTGTAGTTCAGATAATTTTAATTTCATTCTTCTATGTGATATTCCTTTTTATGATTTTACCAAAATTTAGTTATCTATTCTAATATTATGATCCTGCTAAGTACTTTCTTATTCAACTATCTTGGTGAGCATGTGCTAGAGTTTCTCTAAGATATATACCCTAAAGCAGAATTGCTAGGCAGTAGGTATGCATATATTCAATTATACTAAATAACTAAATTTCTTTTCCAAGGGGATAATGCCAATGTAAATTCTTGCCACAAGCATTACGAGAGTTTTCGGTGCTACCCATCCTCACCAATAGTTGGTATAACCCCATGTTAAATTTTTACTAACCTGGTGCGTGTGTGATAGTAACTTATTTTGCAATTACCACTTTGCCTATGGATCTCACAAGCCGAGAGAGACACTAGTCACTTCCATTTTTGGAGACTCCTATGATATTCAAAAAAAATCAAGAAATGGCAAAATGCAGTTGCAATATAATATTATTGTGCTATTTATAAACTAATCACAACTGAAAAAATAATCTGTGGTACATTATAAAAGGAATGGAATGCAAGTTTGAAGTCTTACAATGAAATCTTCAGTCCCATGAGTGTACACTTATAACTGTATGTGTAACTCTCATTTAGAGATTCCATCAAAAGTCTCAGATAACATGAAAAAATCCTCCTGAAGGAACTTTCAAATTGAAGTCCGGAGCAAAATGGTCGTACTGACTGCGTCCACCTACCCACTGACTCAGCCTCCACTCCCAACTCCTGCTCTTAAGGAGACCAACCTTAATGTCTGCCGGACCTATGGGTTTTATCCTAATTCATTAATGAAATACTGGCAAATGAACACTGGGGGGAATAAAATTCAAAAATAATTCACAGAAGGATAGTCCAGTGGGTGTGTCAAGAAAAGATGAATGCACCTTCCCTTCTGCCTTGCTTTGTGAGAATATTTGTTTATTCAACAAGTATTGACTTTCAAGTTCAAAGAAGTATGCTAAGCACTTTGGAGGAAACAAAGAAGAGCAAAACCAGGTGCCTGCCATCCCTGAAGCTCATCTGCTCGCTGAGGGGACTAGTCATGCAAATGACCCACAACTGTAAGGCAGTGTCTTTGGTGCAAGGGATGCAGACACTATAAAGGGATTAAAGGAGATGACCCTTGAGGTAGGAGTGGAAGTATGAGGAGGAGTTCACCCGGTGATCAAGAAGGATGTTTCCATTAGAATTAATAGCATGTGTAAATGGCCAGGAATCTGGGAAAGCTCAGGGCCAGTTGAGAGAATACTTAGAAGTGTTCTGTGGTCAGTCTGAAGGTATGCCCTGGAGTCAGAGATAAGGGCAATTAGTAAAACGTAAAACTGTGGCCAGATTCTCAATGCATTAAGCATCATGACAAATACGAACCATTAACAATAGATTATCAGCCATTTAAAACAGCAGTGATAGGATTTTATTTGCATTTTCCAAAGATAATCCTGTGGGAGTGCAAAGGATATTAAAAATAAGGACACTCACAGAGGAACAAGGGGACATGGGGAGGGGTTTGGGGGAGGGAAGGCATATTACGGGCTGACTCTACCCTTGTAAGACCCACTCTTTTCCAGGACATCTGCTCCTTTCCCGAGTCACTGGACCAGTAAATGGTTCCTCTGGAACCACCAACCCAATGGGTCTCAGAGCAATCGTCTGTTTCCTGGGGGAGTCAGTGGGTCCTTGGGACAACCCTGGGCTCGAGTCACCCACCTAGGCCTGTTCCACAGAATGTGAGAATTATATTGCTGAAAGACATTCTAGACTCCAACCCGGCGCTTACAGGAGGAACTTTAGGTCCAGAGAAGTTAAGTTACTCACCCAACTCTAAACAACTAATCATGGCTGAGTCAGTACTCAAACCTGCCCCAGGACTGAGGTTCCAAGTTAACCACACAACAAAATCAAGACAGAACCAAAACTAGTCCTTGTTTCCTGTTGTATTGTTTTTCTACGACTGAGGGTCACACCCAAATTTATTAGTAGTAATGTTTACAAAGTCATTCACACCTATCACTGGGTAAGGTTCTATTGTTTTCAGAGCTCTCAAAATGGTAGAGACATAGGACCGGCTCTGAAACCCATGGACTAAATACATTTACTCTCTCTAGGCATTCTACCCCAGGCAGTTCGGGTAGGGCTTGCCTTTGTTCCTTTCTGGCCCAAGAATCTGGGGATGAGCCTTCGTGTAAGCACAGCACCAATCATAGTCTGGGAAACAAGCTCATTAAGAAGCAATGGGAGGAAAAAACCCAGTGGATTGGTGGTTTTCAGAAAGGCTGATTTGCAGAGAGGAAATTCAATACAGGATTGGTGCACTTTTGGATTTAATACTTTAAGCAAAATACATATAGCCTGTCTGAGACAGAATTAGGCAGGTGGCCAATGTGGGGTGTGACAATGAGGTATTCCTGACCAAAGCCACACGCCTACCATACTTCCAAAGCTGCCAAAATTTGCCACCTTTATAAAAACCTGTTTGAGTGGTAGGCCATTATTTCTAGATACTTTGGCCTTCCTCCTCTATCCCTATTGAAATGATATGATGTATGAATTAATTCATTAATATCCGTTATTGCATGCACAGTAATATGTCAGTGCTGTGGCAGTGTGTTTAAGACAAATGACCGGAAGTGCAAAGGTTGGTTTATACAACATTTTTTTGTAAGATTTCATTTATTTATTTGAGAAAGAGGGCACACACACACAGGCAGCGGGGAGGGGCAGAGGGAAAGAGAGAAGCAGACTCCCCACTGAGCAGGGAGCCTAACTTGGGGCTCGATCCCAGGACCCTGAGATCATGACCTGAGCTGAAAGTAGGCACTTAACCCACTGAGCCACCCAGGCGCCCCAGTTTATAGAACTTTTAACACAAACTTTCTCTCTCTTGATCCCCAAATCAGCCCATTTTTCCCCATTTTAGGATGAGAAAACTGAGGCTCAGGGAGGTGAAGTGAATAATGTCACATAGCCAGGAAGTGGTGAATAATGTCACATAGCCAGGAAGTGGCAAAACTGCGATTTTAATCCATGTCTTCTAACCTCAAGTGTCATACTCTTTCCATTCCATCTGTTTGGTATATTAGCAGAAATCTCTAAGACAAATGGGGCTCACATCTCAAAGAAGTTAATAATGTAATGTGTAAGGGAGTACAATGTAAATAACAAATCCAGATTTAAAATATTTTTTTTAAAGATTTTATTTATTTATTTGAGAGAGAGAGAATGAGAGATAGAGAGCACCAGAGGGAAGAGGGTCAGAGGGAGGAGCAGACTCCCTGCCGAGCAGGGAGCCCGATGTGGGACTCGATCCCGGGACTCCGGGATCATGACCTGAGCCGAAGGCAGTCGCTTAACCAACTGAGCCACCCAGGCGCCCTAAAATATTTTTTTATTATATCAACAGTGGCCTGAATGTTACTGAGTGCATACTATGCGTGTGGACTGAGCACTGGATCTAGAAAGTGCAAGCCCACAGCTCCATATATTATGATACACCCTGCAGCCATTGTTTCACGACCCCCCCCCCAGGAGGAGGGGAGGGCTTGAAAAAAAGACTTAAATGAATTCAGCAAATATATTTCCCCAAACACTCCAAAAACCCACCCATCCTCTTAAGGCAGATCTAAGACCACACTGAAGAATTTCTTAATTAAGCAGAGACTGGAATTCAAATCTTTCTTCTATTCTGTAGCTTGTTTGTTTAGACTGGGGGGGGTACAGCAGGAGAGGGAGAGAGAAAGAATCTTCAGTAGGCTCCACGCCCAGCACGGGTCCTGACTGGCACTCTATCTCATGACCCTGACATGACCTAAGTGGAAATCCGGAGTTGGAATGCTTAACCAACTGAGTCACCCAGGTGCCCTCTATACTGTAATTTTAATACTAACTAAATGTCAACTACAAACAATAACAAAAAACAACCCTTCTTTAAATTTTAAACTTTCAGTCTGCATTCATTCTTTAGAAGAGGCTGAGGTAATGCCTTAAAGGCAATGTTCCTCAGACTTCACTGTGCCTAAGACTCACCTGGACATCTGTTCAAGTGCAGATTCTGATGCTATAGGCTTGGGTGGGGTCTGAGGCTCCGCATGTTAATAACAAGCAGCGGGGAGGGGCAGAGGGAAAGAGAGAAGCAGACTCCCCACTGAGCAGGGAGCCTAACTTGGGGCTCTATCCATTTCGAGTTAGTAAACCCCAGAATATACTTGTATGCTCAGGTTTACGCATATTGTCAAAGCCTGGCTCCCCCCAGAAACTAATACAACAGTCTGTTGAGCAGCCCAAGTTGAGTTCACTGCTCCCACCCTAAAGGAGATCACTACCTAGGTTAAGTTCTAGCAACGTCTCAAAGGTGGAGGGCAAGGTCAAGATTTTTGTGACATTTGGGGGTTTGGTATAAGGTGGGTCTT